GTATGGCTAGCATATCTCTTAAGAATCTAACAACATAATCGGCACCCACGAGCTAGAATTTCCACAACATCTCAAAAAGTTACATGAAACGATGAGTCATAAGAAAAATGTAATGCACATCATATTTAAATCAATCAAAAACAACAGATTCAATCATCCAAATATATCACTTGAAGTATCGTCGACTTGTCGACACTGCCTTCGTGCCGTGCCACGAGTCTCTTGTTGGGTACCCGACACTGGAGTAGTGCGACAAATTCTACAAACAAATACACAGAAATATGCATGTTTGGCCGCTTTCATAGTTTGCGACTACGGAGATTAGGATAGCGCGCGACGATGAAAAAGATATGTATGACAGAAGATTGCTCGAGTCTGACATAGTGCGAAAACTATGAATGCATCATTCGCAAACTACAAGGCTGCAAATGGCACGCCGCGCCTGGGATGTGAATGGAGGCAGTAACGACCCATATTCATCCCCAGGGTTGGATATTGCTGCAGATGACCCTGGCGTGAATAAATTTGCAAAACGACCGACGAGACTATGGGAACATAGTGGGAAGCATAGTGAAAGTATTGGTCCCACTGAAACGAGGTACAGCAGTTTCAGGTTGTCTGCAGAACTTCGAGTGCACGAATTGCAGAACAGTGTCATTTAGGTTGGAAGGTTTACACAGAAAGATATTCTGAAAAGAAAACTGGAATTGATATGAACATTCCTCATTTCATCTTCTTCTTTCAGGTATCACCCTCTGTTCGGCGATCTACGCACACAAGTCTACATAAAATTATTTATACTCTCCTTACAAACAATCTGTTTCATCTACCTCTGCTCGATTTCACCAGCGAACGGCTTTGCTGGTACTAGACCGAAATTGTGTGAGTTTGGCAAGAAAATACGGGCCTCATCCAGTAAGGGACGGCATAGGGTGCGATCGTTGCTGCTGTCTACAGAAATGCCTACCTGTGCAGGAGGGGGGGGGGAAATCACTGGGTATACGTAGTTGGGTTGACTGTATTTCGTTTCGCTGATTGCCTTTGGTTATATGAACTACCGCGCCACATGCCCCGCCCCCTTGCTGGTAATGCGAGAGGCCCCAAAATATTTGGGCATAGAGAAGAATTACGTCGGTATGTGGGCCTACCGATGCGCTCCGAAACAGTCGTGCACATTTCATGCGTCGAGCATAGTGAAGGGCATCGGAATGGCGTCTAGGGATTGAAGAGCGATGGGAATCGGCTTCTACCACGTTACTTTATCATTAATCTTCAGAAAATTTTGTTTAGAGTATGATCACATCATCACGTCGCGAGATTTTGCATCATCGTCGCGAGCTTGTGCTTTTACGTACTCTACTGACATGTGCTGCGTTTCCCATGCCCAATTGGACCGTAAATGCAGACTAGCCCACAGATCCATCAGATAGTCAACGACATTGAAGAGAACATGTGATACTGATTTTTTTGAGGCCTTAGTCACTGTGCTACTGCTATTGTGCGAAATCAATCAGTAGTTCCCACGGCAACAGCATCGATAAAATCGATAAGCTATGTGTTTAAGACGCTGCGACTCACCTGGAACTTGGGAACGAAGTTTATTTACGGTAGACAGCCTACGAATTAGCCATACAACGATTCTTCGCAGTGTATCAAGGTTGCTTCATGTGTACGCATTACTTGGCATTTTAAAGGAGTCCTTCGCGTAAAATTCTTGCATTCTTTCTTGACTTGAATGAGTCAGATGTGATTTCTGGGATTAGCACACAAAGTTTCACGCTGAAGATTTGGTTCCCGAAGAGAAACAAACGTACAAAAACTATACTATCTGGACAATCGATATGTAATTCGGGCGGAGCCAAACGAGGCATGGAAAGAAGTTGGCGTTTGGCCGGCTACGTATCAGGCGACGCAATGAAAGAATCGGGTTAAAGCGCGCGATTTCGGAGAGTAGAGACAAATCGATCGATAGAATAGGATGGAGTAGAAGTGTAAGATGTGAATGCAATAAAGCAGAAGGCCAGAAAGAGTTTCTAGTGAAGGCACTCCAAGAACCAAGTGGAAGCATCCCCGTCGCCAGCATTTGTGAAAGACGTCCGTGGGCACTTTGAACGCGTAGCAGCCCGTTCGTTTTTTCGAATTTTTTTACCAAAACAAATGCAAGTTTTCTGTTCTTTTCATTCTTTGTGGATTATGGGTCAGGCAAGTGAATTCGGAGACCTTGTTTTGATGTTTTTTCTGGTGTAACGATCCTTCAAAGAAATCGGTTTCATGATTGCGTACTCGTGAAACGTTATCCTTTGCGGATTGTGCATCAGTGTAGCTTCTGATGACGCTGGCATGTGTAGCGCTGAGCCGAGTGAAACGAACAATAGCTCCTACACATCGATTCTACCTAGCTGCAAAACTGGTAACTATAGCAGCATTTCAAATGTACAGTAATGTTAGGAACGAGTGGTCGGTTGTTAAAAAGGAGCAAAGATAGAGCTATTATACTTTGCCCAGAGTGGTGCAGGTTGAACTTCGGAAAACCAGAAAAGACGGTTGAATTTATGTATATTCAAATCTTCGCTGCGGCTGTGATCGTGTTTGTGTGCTGATAATCCGAAACCCTGGAAGCAACATCTTATCAAAGATATCTTGAGGATGCTGACAATCAACGAACATCGAACGAGGTAGTGTTACGATATGTACTTTTAAGGACACAATGGCTGGGTTAAGGCAACAATCCTAGATCGAACTTGTGGTGGGGAGATAATGGAGTTGTGTATGCCGAGCTGGTGAAAATGGAAAGAGAAGAAAGCAAAGAAAACCGTTTATGAAGCACAATAAAGGATTTCCTCGAAATAAGGGGAGGGGGTAAGGGTGCGACCAGACGACGAGTTGTACGAACTTGCCTGCTTCACGGCTCAACTAACCCGTGTCTTTGAAGTAGCCGCAACGCCGTAATCCACGTTGCGTGTCATGTGTGTGCGTGACGTAACACGTCCTAATGCTAACAATAAGATAAGTCATCAAATGCTGACTTTTATTAGAATGTAGCGCCATTGTCGTACACTTAAAAGCCGCGACAACGCTTATTTGTGCTACTCGTGGATTTGCGGATGTGGAGTTGTTTTCTGAAATTGCGAATGAAATCTGTGCTCCTCAAGTTAACCTTTGCAAGTGGTGTGTGACTGAGTTGAAGTGGACTGCAGTGAGCCTCTCCAACGATTCCTGCTTCTCGCGTCTTATCAGCAATCACTCGACGGTGAATATTCAAGGAGGCCGCAAGTGCTCGCGAAGATATTGCAATAGGGCGTACTGTACAGCAACGGCGCTAGCCATTGCTTACCGTGCAACGTCTGTCACCGCGTTGGCGTCACCAGCACGCGTGCGCTCGGTGGAGTCACTCGATCCAAGGCATGATTGCTACTTTATCGCATTGCGAGCATAAGCCACATACCTAAGATTGTAAGATGTTTTTTCGTAGACCAAACGTTAGCGCCTGAGAATTGCTGGTGTTGGTGAGGGAAGGAGGGCTGAAAGGTTTCGATCGCCCTTGAAGAGAGGCTCTGATTATTCTCGGACAATGAAGGTAAAAAGGAGGTATTTAATGATAGAGAGAAATATTTTTTCAGCCGGACGCGACAATGGAATGGAGACATGTGTACTTGGCAGTAATAAGGTACGTCGGTTTCCGGAATGTTCTTCTCCCTTTTTCTGATAATCGTTCTAATTTACTGGTTTTAATGTGATTGAGTCATTGCTTTAGGATCGTTTTATATGTTCATCGTTGCTCAAGTACGAATTAATTTTCTGTGCAACAATTCTGTTAAGCGGTGAAATCTAGTCATAGTGTTCCGTTGAAAGTGTGCGACGTTATTGTAGTGCTGCTAATAGACACTTATTTTCAGACACCGTTACAGATGCTCGCGTTTCGCGAGGTGTGAGCATAAGATTCGTGGTTTAGTTTTTGGATACGGAAAATTGCTGCATCCCGTGGTCGTCAAAAGGAAATCAGTCTTTTTTACGTGCCCAGTGGTCGGTGATGGCTCACCTCTCGGTTAGCGCTGCCTCATGATCATTAGATGCTCACTCTTGGTCGACAAGTGTGGCTGCATCACTGGTTCCGCTAAACGCGCGCTCTTATCGAATCACTAGCACGATTGAAATCTGGGCACAGCACTACGCAGCTCTGAACACTCCTCTTACTGTGAATCTCCTACGATCCTATGAGTCTTCCACTTGAAATGGCTTCGAATACCCCTGTGAAAGCTAGTTTTCGCATTAGTGTACTTCAAATAAATAGAATACAATTATGTTGTCTATTTGACATATTTCTCGCGGTTTCATTAATCGTATCTCTGCAGTGTATAATGTTTTGATAAATGTTTGAAACTAAATACCTACATGAAAAGCGACTGTCATGTCATAGGGAAAAAATTGGCAGCGGAAGCGGGCGAAGAGATCCCTACAGCGGTAACGTGCAGTTAGGCCAACATGAGGTGGGATGGCCTGTTTGGCGCGGCCCGCAGTGACTTCCATATGACTTACCTCACGGAAGTCATGATGGCGGGTGCGCGCGGGTTTTGCACACAATCTACCGAAAATCATGGAAGCTGCGCCAGAGAAGCAGAGTATGGGCGCGCTCACATTCAGTCTTCACGTCGCGGCTACTAGGAGTGGTCGCACGAGATGGATTACGGGGCCATAGCAGCGTCACCTCCCTAAGGATGAAGGTTGACCGCGTGTGACGTGACTTTCGCACTTCTCTAAAGAGTCGCTCTTGGTAGGGCTAGGAAGCGCGCGGGTTCCGATGCGCTCGTACGGTTCTGGTTCGTCGTCTACAGGGACTTTCTCGCTTCTTGTCCCGTAAGAAAATGAGCACCAGGTGCGACCCGTAAGTTTAGGTCGTGGTCTTCCTACTTCAGAGAAATTGTCATTATTCTATTTGTAGTTACTTATTCGTAGTAAAAAAATCCATGATTTCACTTGTGTGTTTCAACCAGCGGTACCCTGAGGGATGTTGGAGGCTTTGGGGAGGCGGTCATATGGCGCGATCCCATTGGCATTAGAGCGCACAGGCCGCAATTGCCCCATCCTGCTGCGGCCGGACAACTCGTCCGTATCACTCAACTACTAGACTTCAGTAATTGATCGATCTGATAATTTGGGTCTCAAAAATCTCGCTGAGTCCCAAAGGTCTAAAAAAGAGCGAATAGCTTCGCTGGCCTGATGCCAAGGCAAGAGGAACGGAACAGAATGTGTTGCGCGGACGAGTTGTCCGGCCACAGCAGGATGTGGTAATTACGGCCTTTGCGCTCCAAATGGGATCGCGCCATATGACGCACACCTCGGGCCTTTGGTGTAGACCACCGCGTGGAGAGTGGCGAGAGCGGGCGCAGCGTAAGTCCCCAATCGTACCCTCACGCCGACATGGACGCCGCTCCTAAGCAGGGTGAACCCCGATGCTTCTGAGCTTATGCGAGGAGCAGGGCGTCCATGCCAGCGTGACAATGTGAGCAATTGGTCATAGTCCTCTTATCGTATTTCTTTTTGTATCAAATTTTAGAGTGAGTGATTTCGTACTTTTAAAATACGAATCTATGGTTGCCCTATTTCTCGTGCTGTGTTTCAATATCTCAAGCGTGTTTACACCGTAGCGTTTTCCATTACGTCCTAGTTGTGTAAAGGCATAGTGATGCCCGTAACCCGCGCTGAGGAAAATCATTGGGGCCATAAGGCCAAAAGCTCAAGATAGTTAGGCGTACTGGTAGGTGTTACCTACAAAGAACCATATACGTCGTACATGGGGGGTTCCAGGGATTACCTAAACAACCGCGTGGCATAATGTCAGGCAGCGAGTACAGCGTAAGACCCAGATCACAAACCCTCACGCCGACTGGCGCCGCTCTTTTTTCGGGTGAGCCATCAAGCAAGATGAGACTAAAGCGAATAGCGAAGAGCAAGGCACCCAGGCCGGCACAGCCGTTAGTGCAACCACGCACGCAACATGTCTTATTATCGCTACACCGGCTCCTCTAATATTAGGCATGACTTGAATCCGCGCCACCACAGCAAATATTCTCAGCAACGCCTCCGTACACATACTGATATTAGCATATATCATTCACAACAGAATAGCAACATTTTCGATCAGATATTATTTCAGGAGAGCATAAGGTGTCAGTATTCGTGTTAGAACTGTTCATTCCTTCTTGTCGGAAGACTGCTTTTCTAAATCCTCAGTGATCTTCTTGATGTGTTCCTGAAGACTAGCAAAATTGAAAAAAGACGACTACATTGATGAGCACTCCATAAGCGAGCACCTTTGAAGAGCGAGTATACGATAATCTCAAGTATACGTATGTGAAGCCTATTAGGTCCCTTATGGCCGATGTCATAGTTTGCGAATCGAGCGATTCGCTAGCGAATCGCTGGATCCGAGCGTTGCGCCAGCGAATCGAACGATGCACCAGCGAGTCGAACTATGTACCAGCGACTCAATAGTGGCGGGACCCAACGTTCAAAGGAAGCCCGCCACTTTCAAACAGTGTCCACTGTCAAGTCCCGCCACTTTCAAACAGCGTCCACTGTCACGTGACACTGTTTGAAAGTGGCGGGCTTCCTTTTGGGTCCCGCCACTATTGAGTCGCTGGTACCTAGTTCGACTCGCTGGTACATCGTTCGACTCGCTGGTGCAAAGTTCGATTCGCTGGTGCAACGTTCGATTCGCTGGCGCAACGCTCGGATCCAGCGATTCGCTAGCGAATCGCTCGATTCGCAAACTATGACATCGGCCTATGGTATTCTTTATCATCTTACTATAAGGATGAAGACGTCTCAAAGTAGGTAATAAAGAGAGCCAAATTCCAACTAATGAAAAAAGAACAATCCGCCCGACTCTCAATCTATGCCCTTGCCTGGAGCAAGCGCAAACCATGAGTATTTTCTCCCAGACGGGGAGGACACATGCAAGTGGCCAAACTAGGAGGCACATTCATTTTCTGCACGTTGAGAAAAAAATCGCTTACAAGCTCAGATTAGGGAGCCTCCAGAAAACGTGCTCACCCTGGATTTTAGGTTGATATGGAGTGGCTCTCTACGTTCTCGTTGCAAATCCTATACAGGGGGACCGTAAAGGTGAGAGGGTATTGAGGACTAATTGGGCACGGTAAAATGTAATCTTGTGTCCTATTAAAACTTTACCCTGAACAGTGGTGCAGCTTGCCTTCCGATTCCGTAGCACCTGAGGCTGTAGGGGAATTTAAGCCGTTTGGACACGGTGAGCACCCGAACTGAGCGTGCATTATGATGTTTCCGCTGTAGTCACGTACAATGCGCGACGCATTGACGCGCTGAAGTGTGTGCTCGCCTCCCTCTTCTCGTTTTCTCTGCGCCTCTCAACGAGGAGAGAATGCGACGATAAACCTAGCCAACTATACTGAGCGCCGTTCATGTAGGGGCAGTCGAAGAGCAGTGGTGTATCGACCTCTCTTGCAACCAGCGAAAGCGGAAACTTTTGGTGCGTCCGGGGTTGCACGCGGCGAATCGCGCGGCGGGCTGCGCGGCGATCCGGACGAGGCAAGTCTTCGCGGGCTTCTGCGGTGGAATCCAACACGTCAGAACGTGTGCAGATCGCGGATAGAATCCACAGGTTCTGCGATACGAATTACAGTCGATATCCGAAAGTTGGGGTAGGTGTGTCACCGGAAGTGACGTGCACTTGATAGAAGTTGCGTGGATAAGCTGTTGCCAGCATGCTTTGCTGATATCCAGCGATGTATGTTGGAAGCAGCTTATCCACATAGCTTCTATCAAGTGCACGTCACTTCCGGTGACACGCCTACCCCAACTCACCGATATCGAGTATACATTCCACGCGTGGATATTCAAAGGCAGCGGCAGGAAGAGAAGAAAAGGAATAGCAAAAGGCTGTTATAGCAATCAGGGCGCTTAGGTTGCTGGCGCTTGTTGTTAAGGGGGGGGGAATCCCATGAGCGGAGAGATTCAACCAATTATTGTGTTTGGGACTAAGCCTGAGGGGAAGAGTTTCTCGTGGAGGATGTGAGCAATTTCTGTTCTCCCGAGCGTATTTCCCTTCTCATGAGCTTAGTTCTAGTGTCACCTTCCATTGGCCCTGTTTTGAAAGTTCTCCCCAAGGACAGGAGCGCCGCGATTAGCAAAGATATAGAGTTGACAATAAATAACATCTCACTAAATGACTCCATTTTTAGTGCTTCTTATTCATATTTATAATATGATAATAGTGACATTTCTATGAAGTTTCTCTCTTTCATCTCCTTTCGCTGTAATCTTCTCACTGACACCGCTGCATTTCACCGATCTCCGCGAGTGGGAAGTTTCTTTCAAAGCAGAACCTTGTGGATTCTATCCGCGATCTGCACACGTTCTGACGTGTTGAATTCCACTGCAGGAGCCCGCGAAGACTTGCCTCGTCCGGATCGCCGCGCAGCCCGCCGCGCGATTCGCCGCGTGCAACCCGGACGCACCAAAAGTCCGTCGCCCGCGACCAGTGTGGATTCACTTTGGACTTCTTCACCAATTGTTTCTTGTTGTTTATACTACTGCTCGACCTATTACCGCACCTAACTCCTTTTTGAAAGAATAAAATATAGTGACGCCGCGCAAGATATCTGTAACCCTCCAACTCCCAGTGGTACACATGTGCCACATTGTGGTGATACATGTGTACTTCTGATCGGAGGCATATTGTGTAAAGCTGGCTTATTCCAGCACAGTTATTGTGAAATTCTGGGGCAGGCTATGTTGAAAAACTCTTACCGACATTTGATGATATTTGAACAGATCAACAGGATGCACCAGTACGGTGTTCAGCTCGTGTTGGTTGTTAGAGTCAGTGTTCCCACTAAGGAACTGATTGAAAGAGGTTACTAAGTGCTCGCATGGATGACCGGCAGCAGAATATCGAGTCGGCTGTAGGACTATACGATCGCTTCGTTCTTTCCTGAAATTCCGTACCCATTAGCCGCTTTGGCGGTGCGTCACGCTTGTCTTACATCCTACTTGATAATCTCAGATACTTGAACGGGCTCCAGGGTCACAAAGCGAATCACGAGAACCCAGGTGTATCTATCGCTTTGTTATTATCTTCCTCGGCTTATCCCTAGAACTTTGCTGACACCACCTTGTTTGTCCCAGTTATCCGCCTAAGACCCCCTCCCCCACTTCCCTGAGTATGCTTGTGAATTTCGCTGTGCTCTCTCAGATATGTGCTGGACTCGGCTTTGCTTTCTCGATGGCCAAGGCAACGCCGACAGTGTTCGTACGATTCCGCTGAAAAGGTTAAACATACAGACTGATCTGCATAAGGAAGCTTAATCTCTTGATTCTCAAACGATAAAGTATGAACTGGACCATCGCGGACTCGCGCCTATTCCAAACGAGCTAAAATTTGTATCACTTGGCCACCTAGAAGATGCAAGCGTTACGGAGTCCAGTGAAGAAATGGCTACGTAAGAGATGGTTGGGCTCGTTTATGTTTCGCTGAGAACGCTAACGGCGTCAGAGCACTCTTTTCATGATCTTTTGTAAACTCCCTTCGAAAAATTCGGCAATTGTGCCGTGATTGCCCGCGGCATAAAACAGGCGTGACGCGCTACATAGCATGGAATGTGGGCCCTCCAGGATCTCGAATCATGGGACGCCCTTTCCTTTCATGAGCCTTTCAAGATACCTTATTGTAACAGCAATTTTCTTGGTAGAACGGGGCCCTTGCTGGCGCTGAACGGTTAGCTTGAAACACTTGCACAAGCACTCCGAGGGAGCTGCGGTTGCCTTTCTAGGGAAGGGAAAGTAGATCGCATTCGCTGACGCCAGATATTCCAACAAACTGATCACCACTCACCTCTCCTTTTCTTCCACCGGCATGCGAGCCAGTCGAGTAAGTAGTGAACTATGAACTTACCAACTTCATGTTGATAATGAGATATTATTTTTCCTGTTTGAACGTATTGAGATTATTTCTGATGATACCACACACTTCTACATCTCAAACGTTTTTATTGCACAGTGAAAACTTTAGCACGCATACATCCTTCAGAGGGTGTTAGACTTTGAGACCAATCACTAGCGAGTCGCGCACTGACCACAAGGTCTGACGTCTGCCTCAATGCACCGCTCACTCTTGTGTATATTAAAATGATACTGATAAATGACTAGAATGCGATAAACAGTCTGATCTAATTTCATGTCTCGAACAGAAGACTGCTTCAGCCCCAATCTGGTCCATCTCTCACTTCTGAAAGTTGTCATTTTTTTCAGGACTTCGTCACTACATGATGTCCCAAAACTACTTGCGCCAACTTTCAAAAATCCATTAGAAGAGGTTTATTGGTTATTTTCATGTCGCGCGTTACAGAATAGTTGGTAGGTATGTTCTCTTTCGTCTGCATCGTTAATGGGGCAAAACTGCCAGTATATCTGAGAGGCGAGAGGGATCCAAAATGACCTGCGATCATCCGCGTGCGTGAGGAAGGTAATGCATCGTAGGAAATTGTTCAATTTTTTGATGTTCCCGTGAGCACATTTAAGAAGACCAACAAATGATGCAGGAGAGTAACACACGCATTAACAAGCCTGGACAATGAAGAGTGGTCACCGTTTCCACGGTTAGAATTATCGAAATGTGTGGTTAGCAATCCACGGTGCTCCATCAGAAGGATGGCGAGGCCGCGAAATTTATCAAAGTCATATGGGGCGCATCATTGAGGAGAAGCAGCGCCAATCCCATTACATGCAGAAGTGCCGCTCCATTCTGTTCAGCAACAAACAGTAGATAGGCAAAAGTTTCAGGGTTACTAACGCGCTCCACTTGCTAAATGCGACCATTCATCGTTTTTTATTCTGACAGGAAATATTTGCTGTGGAGCCGGTATTGAAAGGCCAAAGCAATCATATTCTAGTTAGAATATCGAGAGTGCCACCTCACGAGGAAAAGTTGTTGAAGAACGGCGTCCTCGGCCAGTAATGATTGGCGTGATTGTGTGAGATGCCCATTGAATTTAGCCGACTCATGTTCGATGATGATCGGCAAGGTAGTGCCTACTAGTGTACGTATTGAAGCCTTGATCCCCCTTTTCGGGAGCAAGCCGTGGTGTTGCCAGCAGGACAGTGCTACAGCCTGCGGGGCCAAGCCCTTTCAAAGCAGGTGCGAGCTGCTAACTGCCCGACTTCGTCGCCGCCATTAATGGCCTTCTTGCTCTCCTAATTTAATCGCTTGAACTCTAAGTCTGATTCGTGATCAAGAGTAAGGCATGTCGAGCTCGTCGTATGAATCTGCAACCATTGCAAGCAGCATCAAAAGGAAGCCCGGTAAATTGGATGGGAACACCTCCGTACAACGTGGGAATGGTGCAAGAAGAGGCTCCGAGCCTGTATTTGTGCAGATGGAGGACATTGAAATCTGATTGTTGCATGCTGTTGGGTATGGTGTTATTATAATTATATTCGGATCGCTAAGCGTTTGTCGTGTGTGTGTGTGGTGTCTACCGCGAACTCGAAGTTTTTTTTTATAACTTCACCCCCTTGGAACCCAGAGCGCTCAAACTTCTAGGATATATAGGGGGCCGGAGGTGAACACTGATGACGGGTGGCGGGAAGTGATAACTACTGATAGGAGCTGATAACGGACGTCGAAATGTTGATGTCACCAATTTCGTTACACCGTTCGCGTTGATGGTGGAGAGTTTGCACTCATGTATGATATGTGGGGTGAGGCGGGGACCAAGAAGTTGAGTGAACGAATGTGGTAGCAACTGATAAGAACTGATAAGGGGCGTCAAAGTGTGGATACCACCAGTTTCCGTTGCGGCCCTTGCGGTTACATTGGAACCTTGGCTCTCATATGTGGTATAGGGGATGGGACGGGATCACGGATAGCGGATGATCAGAAGTGATAACAAGCGATAACAGTTGATAAGGAAGTTAGGATTTTGAGTACTGCTGAATTCGTTGCAGCCTTCGTTGTGACAGTAAATATTAGCTCCTACACGTTGCCTGGAGGTTGGGACCGGGACACCGATTGCGAACAGTATGAACTGATAACAAATGACAAGGAATGATAAGAGCGTTTGAATGCAAGTCTCTCCAACTTCGTTGCAATTTTCACTGGCAAGCGATCAAGGTGGCGAGGGTTGAATGTAGGTGACAGAAAGTGGTATGAGCGGCAACTGTACTGATAAAAGTAGCGACAGTTGAGCGTGCACTCAATTGAACTAAACCAGGTCCCTAGCACGTGAATATGTTCCATTCCTATCCTTTCATCTAAAGAAGCAAAGAAAGTTGAGCTGCTCAACTATCTGAACTTGGACCATTAGCAAATATCCATTACATTCATCATAGCTCGGTTAGATGCTGATTGATTGGTTATATTTCACATACACACCGATTCTTCAATTGTGGAAATTTATAAACCGCTAAATCATCCGAGCTCGATATCAATGCTAAATGTTTACGAAGTCATGATAAGTGCAATTTTCATTCCGCATGCTACTGCGCGCATTACGCTACAATCTTCAGCAAAATTGGACAGCCTTTGAAATTCATGTGACACATCTTCCAAACATCTTACTGTTAGTTTCTCAGATCCGTATAACTTCGCGCGATGCTGCGAGCTAAATCTGTATAATTATATTCGGATCAAGTTGTCATCTGTGTGCAGTAGCTCAAAAACTTTGCAAATAATTAATTTTGGGCACATCTCGTTGTTGCGGCTCTCGATTTGGCAAGTAATTCAGTTACTGATAGTCTATGAATTTGATCGCGAGTACACCCTCACAGCAGAACATGCCATTTAATAATTTTCGGAACTTCTAGTACACAAATTTTAGGTCGTTTTGAGAATGTAGCAATTCGCAAAGTCCTGACACTGGTTTTGCTGAGATTCACATCAGGGTGCATTGCCCGGATGTCGTTCGCAACAAATTCGCGTGGTAGAAAAATACGGTGATGCATGCCCACCTCGATCAAGTCTTATAAAGCCGGTGTCAGACTGCGAATCAAGCGATATGAGCAGTGCGCCAGTGATTTGTAAAAGTGAGAAAGGGGGAGACCCTCGCTTTAGCACATTCACTTTCGCCACTTTCCCTGGGTCTCATGCCCTAGCGAGTTCGTATGCCATGAGAAAGTAGCGAGAATCGACATGGGAATAAAAGGTACCTTCACCATATTCCCCATTATTTCAAAATGCTCGCATTGCTCAAACCGTTGGCGCATCGCTCGAGCAGATTCTGCTACGTTGTACACCGCAGTTTGCTAGGTTCGCAGTCTCACAGCCTAAGGTATGACTTTGTAGATGCTAGCGCCACCTTTCCATTTTCTGGTACAACTTCATCCATTCTCTCCTTCCCCTCCCACTTGCTCCCCACTGGAGCTCCACGGGCGGGGCAAGCCTTTGAGATAATGCTCTCGGTGTTTTTGTTACACAGAGGTTCTAAGCTATTACAGGAGTTATCCACTATATGTGGTCTCACTTCTTGTAAATGATATTTCATATGGTTCACCTATTTACAGATTACGAAGCGCTGCTCAGCATCAGTCGACATGCATAGCGTATTTTCGATTGAAATATGAGGACTACAGCGGGATTGACTACGGTGTTGAGTATTGTGACAGTCATAGCGATATAGAACGGTGCCCGTGAGCCGCTAATCGTGGCAGGTAGAATATAGAAGAAGTTGCTGGCGCAGAATTGTATCACACAGATCGCCAAGAACTGGGACACCTGAAAATGCAAGAATATTTCTAATCTATGAGTAGATAGAGAAGGGAAACTGAATTAGTGGTCAATTTCAACCGCACCTTTTGGAATATACCACGACGGACTACATTAATCGGTTCATAAAATCGCCTCAATTGATGCTTACCTCAGGACTAAGCCTTAAAGAGAGGACGCACCTGCGCTCTTCTCCAAGGCTTAGTCCTGGGGTAAGCAAACCAGCCCTTTTGGCGGAGCTGCTGGACCCAGCTGCACCACTTCGTCATCACTCTCCTACCGTACCGACCGAGTTGAAGTAGTCCGTCGACCTCGGGGACCCCATCCCCTCCCCAACATTCAGCATACGGCCCAGCAGAAACGCCAAAAGGGCTGGTTTGCTACCTCAGAAAGTATGAGATGTTAGGAAGCGGATGTTCAAGTGAGTGCTTCTGTTCTGCTCATTTTGTGCAACTTGACCAACTTCGACGATGACTGAAGGCTGGGGGAAGGAGGAGTAGACATGTTGACCGCTTGAGCGAGTCTCAATATGCTGGTTTTGATGCTGAGGGGTGTTCACTCCTTAGTTGCTGCTCCATCAGATGGAGTCACATCATGAGAAAGAGTGTGATTTTTCTAATGGATTAGTGTACCACAAGACAGTTCCTGAGCGATGTGTTGACACGTGCTCCCAAGATACAGCAGCGAAGAAATAATAAGGAGAAACGTTCTATAGTTCACAAAACAATACCCGGTCTACCCTGTCGATTTCGACGCTCGAGAGCCTCATCGGTGTTGACGCCACCAACATGATCGCTCCGCTCTGACTCTGCTGAAACGCTTTTGTCGTTCGGTGAGGAACCAGTAGCTGGGTAGCACGGAGGGCGGACACAGCAGCTAGGGGATTTGAAACCGCGGGTAAGGCCTGTTAAGCGGCTACGGGCAACCTTTTACGCGAGAGTGTAGCCTTTCATGCTCTAAAGGTCTAGTTTCATTCTGTAGTGAACAATACACCCTTCCTTGGCATCCAGTTTTCGATGCCACCCAGCTTCAAGCAGGCTCTATCCCAAACAACCTGTGGGCACAGCCCCTACCCAGAACCCCCTTTGAAAAGGCATGCGCTTCCAGTTTCCCTCCAGAGAATTTTGTTCAGCACATGACACTTCACAAGTGTAAAAGTCGTGAATCCTTGCTTCTACGAAACCTTCGTTCTCTTTTTGCAGGCAGCTATCTTCACCTCTGAATATTTGCAGCAATCGACAGAAGTTCATAACAATTAGTGCATTTTTAAGTCCTCCTCTTCTCCTAGCTCATTTCCAAAATTTACGGATTCCCTCAAGGTCCGCTAGAACTCTCAACAACTCTCCAGATGTAGGCTTCGAATAAGCTTCCCCCTTCACACATCATGGCTCGTGCATAAGAGTGGCCTTCCCTCTGTGATGGCAAAGATTGGTCAGTGGAGTGACAGAATTCCGTGGGGTTCAGAAGAGATGCAATCTTGAAGGCGTCGGAATAAAACTCACCAACTTGATTTCTGCATTCCTGCTTGAACCCGCCTCGACAAACCACTGACGGCTTTTTTGTAATTGAAATCGCATTTTGAGAACATGAATATAAATGAGTAGGTACAATATGAAGTTCACACCGGGAAACGCGTACGCAGCATAGGAGAGCAACACAGCGAAAAAGCCACAGTTGCTGAAAGGAATTTTACTCTGAGCTCTTTCCACTCTAGGTCGTGCCATACATTCACTGTACTCATAAAATAAAGGCCGTGTGAACGACAATTTGCAATATTCATGAAGAGGAGGAAAAAGAGATGGTCGATTGAACGACTTCTCTACACCTGACAAAAGCGCAAAAGCGAGACAAAATGAATCACGCATCCCAGGAATTATCGCTTCTGGCCGGTGTCAGATTTCGCGACTTCGTGGATTCGCTAGCGAATCGCAAGGAACGAGCAATACACCAGCGGTTCGGACGATGTACCAGCGACTTGACATTGTTTAAAGTTGCGGGAGTTCCTCTCGTTTGCACGTTGACTCTAGGCACTTCCACGGACTCCCATGCCCTCTCGCTCTCCCATGGGTCGCTTGATCCTGGGAAAATCTCTGGGGTCAACGTGCAAACGAGGTAGACTCCCACCACTTTCGAATACTGTCGAGTCGCTGCTACATTGTTCAAACCGCTGGGGCATAATTCGAATCACCGGTGCAAAGTGCGATACACTAGCGCACTGTTTGAACCAATGGTGCATCGTTCGTACCCCGCGGTTCGCTAGCGACATTCAGGGATTCGCAAAGTTTGACTCAGCCCTGCAAGAAGGAGTTTACTGTAGGCGCCACGAACTGTCCCACCACATCCTCCCCTTGTTGGCATAGACCCTATCAAATTCGCATACTAACTGAACATCAGCTTGCATTCAACTCATAAGGCAAAACTTCGATTTCCAGGGGACAGATTGATGTGGTTATTTTTGTGAAGCGACTCACCTGCAATCATATGTGTATGCGAGCGCGAACGGATCAGTTCTTTTATAGCAGCCATGCAAATTCATAGCCGTAGTAGTTGTTATTGCAAGTATCCATGGCAAAGCAGCAAAACAACACAATGGATAGTAAGCAGCTTTAAGTCGGGAGTGTACCTAAACGTCTGATAACATCGTGAAGTCCAAGTTTCAGCAGTGGGTGCTTTCATTGCATGGCAATGTCTCTTCGTTTTTTCACCACCTGTATCACGCGTTGTCCTGTCCCGTTGATCATCGATTTGCTCGAGCGGGCGCCAGCAACGTCTCCATTCGTCCCTGTCGCGTGCAGTGGTCCAGTGGATCCTCCTCGCTCGAGGGACACGAAGTCCTTCATTCCTTTCGTTCAGAGCTTTCGTGAAGAAGTCTGACCATCGGGCCGGCGGTCGTCCAGGTGTTCGTTTGACGTCCCGAGGGATCCAGTCGGTAACCGCTCTGGTCCAACGGTCATCGCAAAATCGCATGACGTGTCCGGGCCCACCTTATCTTCGATTCCTTGGCGAAAACGGCAGCGTCCCTGATCTTCGATCGTTGGCGTAGTTCGGAACTCCGGATTCCCCTCTGCACTTGCGTGTATAGGGTTACTCCTAGCATCGTCCTCTCGACAGCGCGTTGGATAACGCTGACCGCATGCTCGTCCTGCCTGCGCAGAGTCCAAGTCTCTGAGGCGTAAATTAGGGCAGATTTGAAATGCTGACTCTCCTCTGCTTATCTGGATGGAAACGCATGCGCGGTCCATCACAAACATTGCAAACAGCATGATCTAATTTTTTCTAATATTTACAATATCTCTTTCAAAATCTCTTGACTTTGTAGGGAACACGCTCAGTTTCCCTTCCAGGCCCAGCCACCAGTGATGCGTGATGATTGTAGCCCAAGGTGGCATAGGCTGTGACTTCGGCCTAAGGTTATAGTTACACACTGTCTCGTGCTCAAGGCTAAGATGAGGGTTAGGCTTGAGCATATAACCCAGTGAGTAGTGGCGGCATAGGCTCCACTCAACTATTAGCGCACATGGCTTACAAATGAAATGGTCTTTGAGCAGAATCGACTTCTAAGTGTAGCTTAAAAATTACCTTGTCAAAATAAAAGAATGCAAATCGATCAACGGCAATGACCGTAGTCGTGAGCATTAGTGTGAGATAACCAAGTGTGTCCAACGTTGAAAGATAGACATTCGTGGGATCTATGAAGCGAATTTGGAATAGAATAGCGGGTATCAGCGTGAGAACATTCGTTACAGCACCGGTAATGCCAGCTGTTGCTGCACTGAGCAAGTATAAACGAAGGCACTGATTAATGACGTTAGTTTTAAGAATGACAGCAAGTAATAGAGCGTTTAGTGACAGTGCTGCAATTGTGATAGATACCACCACAATGCCGTAGATCAGCCGTTCCACCGTCAGATCGTCGTTGAACGTATGTAGCGAAGCTAAGCACCTTAGAGCGTCTGCCATTCGCAGAACTGTAATGTTTAAATTTGACTATAAAAATGCCACACATTGAAGGAATGCGATGAGTTCGAGTACGGATGGCAAGCAGTCGTTTTTGATACTCTTTTCTGAGCACAGTGGTGATCGGTGAATGAGGTCAGCCTTCAACATGTAACGGACGTGAGCATTCATGGGTGAGCGAACCTGTGTGCGGAGCGGCTTTTCTTCCCGCCTCTCGCGCGTGCGCCACATGGTGGCGCACGCGCCGGCACTCGGAGTAGGCTTCGCATAGACGTTATCATATCAACATGAGACAATACAAGCGATGCATACTCCTCTTAAAACACTACGAATCAGCAACTTGAGAGAGGAATTGAACGTTTTGGGGGTATCAAATGGAGGAATCATGACTAACCCCCTTCAGTATAAGGAAAATTGGAATGCGCCACATCATTGCAAGCTCAGCACTATCTCGACTAGAGAGCGTAGACAAAAAAACCTAGCTAGCAAGGTGAAATGTAGAAACATCTCAAAAAAAGTCTCCGCTAGGGGTTTTTCGCCATATTCCCCTTCTCTTTTGCTTAGTGCTTGCCTTTTTTTCCCGGCAGAGTGAGCAGTGAAGCTTTCTGAGGGTATCTTTCAACCGATAGCTAGCTTTTTCAGTAGTTCCTGTTTTGAGCTAGAATATTTTAGTGCATAATCGAGCTGATTCTAGTCATATTTCCCAGGCTCTCCTTTTCGTTATGTTCTTTGAAAAGGGGCTACCACAACCGGGTTTGGGATCTGTTTTAGATAAGGAATCTGATGCCCAACTCCATAGTAATTCCCGACAACAATGAAAGAGGATGGCGAGCTTGGGACAATGGAAGGGGAAGGGGCGGGGAAAGTGGATATCCATGAGGAGATTTTCGAATACAACACAGCAACACTTTCAGGTAGTCAAACTTCAACAGAGCTATGACAGCGTTTTCTGGAGCACAGTGGATATTACACGATAAAAAAACGAGTTATAAGCAATAGGTGTGCAAAGCCTGTGCTAATCTTGCATTTCCTAGAACGGGATAGCTAGTCTTACTCACGCCTGCAATTTCGGATGATTAATGATGATTTTGAGCGTAACTAGCAGCAGCAATAAACATAGTCATGCCACTAAACTTTATTGCTTGGGATGTTTACGAGCACCCAGAATGATTATGCCGAGGAGATATAAGCGCGGCATACATCAAGTTAGAGCCGAGTCATGCGTTTGAGGCTTTGAGGCGTTTTTCCGCATCAATGCATAGTTTCAGGGAAACGATTCCGTAAGGACACTACGTGAAGAAGCGATATCATGATAGACGCGACAAATCAGTAGCTATCAATCCAAGGACACGAACGAATGGGATGCGAGCAGAAAGCAAGCAGCGAATAAGCATAGACGCTGAGAATTAATAGCAAAGATAAAATTTATGAAAGGTAAGTGTGCGAAAAGTGAGACCTGACGGGCAGGATCCCTAAATCTCAGCGTTTACGATAGTGGAAATCACAGGAGTAGAGAGCATGGTTGGCCAACAATGACTTTTCGAGGTCAGCCAATGCTCACGTTAATCGAACAACGCCTGTTTCAGCAAATTTTCACCGACGGATGAAAAAGCAGGATAAACTCACCCTGTGTTAGGAAGAACGTATGGGGAAGATGCGGTCATAGAGCGTGTTGTTGAAGAGGGCACAGCGATGAGAGTCGCATCAATGCTCAAATCAACGGGCAAGGAAGGGGTCCCATTTCTCGGGTTCTGGGCCGTTTCTCATGGTTCTTCCTTCTTTCGTGTACCACTCACCATCCCTAAGTTAATTTGAAATGGGTTGCTTTTCCATCGTAAATTCTGTCCTTTAAGAGTTTGCAGTCCGAGCATATTCATAGTAGGCACCTCTCCTTCTCCCTTACGGAACGACTTTAATCTTTGGAGACCGGAGTATGTGAAGAAGTTCCAGATCCAACAGCTCGACAAAGGGATCACTTGAGGAGGGCATCGAGGGAGTTCTGAAAACGGAAAAAGGCGAGTGTTGACCCGGGATGGAAGGATTTCACTTAGAGCGGGTTCCCGTGCTCGATAACGCAAAGTGGCGCCTCTGTCTTTTACTGCCATGTACAGTATGTTACGAGGATGGTAATTTTCGTTGAAAGTGCGGACGCAAAGGCACAAATAACCCTTCGTCAACGATTACAGGTTTAGCTTATACACCAGTTTAGCTACGCACACGGTAGAAGTGGTGTCTGTAAACAACCACCATTCATTGGATATCAGGATGATTTAGCGGTCGAATAATATTGATGCCAATGATTTTGCAATAGAAATACCCATTATCGTATATCGCTAAACATCCATCATACATTCTTAGGGACTTTGGGAATGTAGCGGTCGAACGGTATTTTATGTTGATGACAACAACGCAATGAGATGATACTGAAGTGAAATGCGTTATCTAGAACCACGGTTTTAAGCGATCATATGTTCCCCGAATACGTAATTATCGGCCCTTATCACCTCCTGTACCTCACCGTACATGTTCCCGTCGCACTCTGTACATCACTTCTTGGAACCAACGCCCCACTGCTGCTGGGACGCGCGCTATGAATTTCGTGAAATTTGCGTTTCAGCGCCTCTTATCAACCCTTATCAGTCCTTATCACTGTACCCCACCGAACATGTTCCCGTCCCACCCTGTACATCACTTCTTGGAACCAACGCCCCACTGCTGCTGGGACGCGCGCTATGAATTTCGTGAAATTTGCGTTTCAGCGCCTCTCTTATCAGTCGTTATCACTTTCTGACCCCACCAAATATGTTGCCGTCCCACCCCCTACACCATACTCAAAATACAGCGCTCCATGCCTGCAGCGAAGCGCGCTATGAATTTCGTGACAGACGGACGTACGTACAGACAGACACACACAGCAGACATACAGTCGATATCCGAAAGTTGGGGTAGGCGTGTCACCGGAAGTGACGTGCACTTGATAGAAGTTGCGTGGATAAGCTGTTGCCAGCATGCTTTGCTGATATCCAGCGATGTATGTTGGAAGCAGCTTATCCACATAGCTTCTATCAAGTGCACGTCACTTCCGGTGACACACCTACCCCAACTTTCGGATATCGAGTATATACGAATTATATATATATATATATATATATATATATATATATATATATATATATATATATATATATATATATATATATATATATATATATATATATATATTTTATAGCACTTCGCTTAATAGCGAACGTCGAGGAACGTCAAACATTTGCTGGTTTACTGCCGTTCGGATGGGTGAATAATCGCTCAGATCACAAGGTTCCTCGAATGTCATTATTATCATCGCGTAGATATGCCTTCCTTCCGCCTTCACGGTGGAACGGCAATAAGCAACAAAACAACAGTCAATTATTCAGCACCAGATAATTCTTTGGCTGAATAGTAGTAATGTGATGAGGATTTACAATGAAGACTCGATAGGAATCGACGGGTGTTTTCATGATGTCACACATTTCTCCGTCTCATACCAGGAAGATATCCTAGGAAATGGAGCGATTGACCAAAACGATTTTTGAGATGTTTTAGCGGTACATGCTTAGAGCACCCAAATACGGTCCACTTTTTCTGAGCTTCCTTCCCAATGCAAAAAAGGAGTGGAAAAGTTGTTCCGGAAGTGCCTTTTTGGAGGCTTCAAGTAATGCTGGGAAAATGTAGCGCTGACTGGTTGCATATTAAAGGACGAATTCACGATCAGAGGGAAAATCGAATTAGGAAGAATTCACCTGGTTGAGGGACCCGCGGAGCTCCTAAGTGTGCGAACTGAAGCACAATTTGCACAGGAGGAGTTGACCTCGTTGACCTATTAAGGGTTTAATCCCGCCGCGGCTGGTCAGTGCACGCCACCGCATCAATCTGGTCACTTTTCGCCGCGGCGTCAATATGGTAGGCAGCAGGGTGAATAACGGTCGAGGAAATCCTCGACCATAGCTCTCTACCATGCGAGAGTAGTGCCGAGAGTGAACATCCGCGCGGAGAGCACAGACGGCACGGCATGGCGAGTGTGAATGTCCGCGCGAGAGATCGTCTCTGATCGGGCAGAGAATCCTCGACGTGCCGTTGAGGAATCCTCAAGCGATATTCACCTGATACGTAGTGATAGTGATTAGATAGGGAAGAGAGGGCACAGCGATGATAGTCGCATCAATGCTCAAATCAACGGGCAAGGAAGTGGTCCCATTTCAGGTTCTGGGCCGTTTCATGGTTTTTCCTTCTTTAGTGTACCACTCACCATCGCTAACTTAATTTGAAATGGGTTGCCTTTCCAGCGTGAATTCGTCCTTCAAAAGGTTCTCGTAGTCTGTATATTCGAAGCTACGCAAAAAGTTTCATCAAGTATGAGTTGCTTCCAATGACATGTGTCGGAAGAACTACAGCCATTTAACAGGGGACGTCGGCGTTCTATGCTCAAGATGGTGTGGTTGTGCAGTGGAAAGCGGAGTGGACTCACGTTGATAATGATTGAGGATCTTAATTTGTGTCCTGCTCGGTACGTCACCCAGGGTGGACAGTGCTATCAGAGCTCGCAATGAAGTTATGGATAGAGACCACAGCGCAAAAGGCGTCTGAACTGGTGGTGTCCCTGCGACAAGACGTGCCGCAAAGCCGGTGAGACTTGCTTCTACTGTGGCAGCGACAGACAAAATGCATGCGCGTGCGGGCTGCCAGACCAGAGCCGTGCATTGGAAGAGACATACTCTAGAGTCTACGGAATGACTGCGACCATGCGAGTGAGATCATACCGTATTGGTAAACGCTTGGAACGCCACGGCGTCAGAGATCTTGCTTAGCTTTTCTTCGGAAAGTCCTGACCCTATTTATCTTCTCCTTTCTCTTAGAGGGCGGGGGTATCGCGGAATCCCTCCCTCATAGGCAATCCTTCTGTTCAGGCTCCTTTCTCTACCTCTGATCATTCTATGGTAACTTTCTCTTTGACAGGTAACTCTATTCAGTACACTCAAAAACGGAGGGTGGATTTTGCCAAAGGGTAACTATAGGGCTATATGCCTCCATCTTCTTTCGATAGAATGGGGTCGTGTTTTTGACTCTATTGATACAATTGATGAGTGCTACTTTGTTTCACTAGTTTCTGCCACTCTCTCATTTCCCAATTTGTTCCGAGTGCTGGGGTCGCAAATCGAGCATTTCGCCTCCCTCGTTACCTTCAAGTGGTGGAGGCTAAAGTTCAACGGTTATTCAGATGTGGGAATCATCTACGTAATCCACACTACCTCTATCTCTCACGCCTGCTTAAAAAGAAATTAGCGAAACTCAATCTCAAACACGAAGAACATATTGCTTCATCCAAAAACACGAAAAGATTTTGGAGTTATTGTAATGCTAGATTGAAAGACTCCTCTTCAATTGGAACTATCATAGACTCTTCCGGATCGGTATGCTCATTTGACCATGAGAAAGTTGATGTTTTTGCAAAATATTTTGAAACGTTTTATAAGAAGTGTGCTACCCTTACTTCTGACGATGTGGTTCGGCCACAACATACACTAGATTGGGTGGATTTTCATTATGAAAACGTTTTTCGCGTCCTGAAGAAGCTTCCTCTTCGATGCTCTACATCACCGGATGGCCTACCTTACATATTTCTCAAAAAAGCCGCAGAAGGCATCACCCCCGCCCTCACACACCTTTTCAACAGAATACTCTTGAAAGGAACAGTACCCTGCAATCTGGCGGTTAGGACTGGTAAGGCCAATCCATAAAAAAGGAAGTAAAAGCGATTTTAGGAATTACAGGCCTGTGTGTCTCACTTCGTCAGTCAGTAAGGTAATGGAAAGAATGGTGTGTGAAAGAATAAGGAGTTTCCTCATATCGAACCAGCTTCTGTCTTCTTGTCAGCATGGATTCCTCCCAAAAAAGTCTACCGCTTCCGCGCTTCTTTCCACTATTCCAGCCTGGCAGTACGCTATAGACAAAAAGAATTCTGTCTTTGCCGCATACATTGATTTTTCTAAAGCATTCGATTCTATTCCTTTACATCTCTTGTTCCTTAAGCTAAAGCAGTTGGGAATAACGGGGTCTCTCCTCAAATTTCTAGAATCGTTCCTTTCCAATAGGTATCAAAGGGTCGTTATCAATGGCACATGTTCTCGCATGTATCAAACTGAGAGTGGTGTCCCCCAAGGCTCTTGTCTAGGTCCATTGATGTTCATTATGTACGTTAATGATCTGCCCGATCTTCTTCCTTCCGGCATACACTGTTCAATGTATGCGGACGATGTTAAGGTTTACTGCGTTGATCAGCCCTTAGTGTTACAAGTTGCACTTGATGCCATATCAAGTTGGGCTAGAAGCTGGGGACTTACCATTTCCTTGGACAAAACAGTTGTCCTGCGATTAGGGTCCTCTTGTCGCTCCACTCCAAAGTTCTTTATAGATGGTGTTGAACTAAAGGAACCCGTTGTACTAAGAGACCTGGGCATCTGCTATTCCCGCTCATTATGTTTTAGTGAATATATTCATAAGGGTGGTAAAGTTTAGCCCATTGCAGGGCAAACTTCATTTTGCGCGCTTTCGCTACTCGAAGTATAAAAACTCTGTTCAAGCTTTTTTCTTCTTACGTTCGTCCTATACTAGAGTATTGCCCCATGGTATGGAGTCCCTCTACGCGTAACATGGTGGATCTCATTGAGAGTGTTCAATCCAAATTTACTGAGCGAATTTTTGCTCGTGAAGGTATTTTTCATATTTCTTACAGAGAAAGACTGAGCCATCTAAACGAAAATACCTTAGAAATGAGAAGGAAGTTGTCCGATTACGATTTTGTTTACAAGCTTTCCGCAGGGTTAGTTGATTTGGATTTTGATGCTCTCTTCAAGAAATCAACAACTATTGGACGTACTAGAGGTCATAGCTATAAACTGCTAAGGGAGAAAACTCACTCTGCTGAATATCGAAGTTCTTTTACACAAAGAATTGTCACTTTATGGAACGAATTGCCACCCTCTGTGGTTCAGTCAAGCTCTCCCAGCTCGTTTAGGAAAAAGCTAAAGGAGATTCTGGTGTCTCGAGGTTGGTTTTAAGAGCAAGAAACTAAACCCTACATAAACTTTATGAGGCAGAGAAGCGATTCATTTGCTAGTTGCTACATGATTTTGAGTGATGTAGTAATCTGTTATTTTTTTTTATCTATTTACTTTCATGAATATTGCTTCTTGTTGTTGTGATGAATAATTTTTTTCCTTGGCCACTGCGCTGCTGGAAGTTGGATTTCGGCAGATTGGCGCGGACCTACTAAGTCGGTATCCGGAGTTCCTGGTATTCTTATGAGCTTGCAGTGTTGGGGGCCACTGCCCTTTCGAGCCGATTCCACTTCCCTTCTACGCAGCTGAGGTTCTTGTCCTTCCATAAGATTGAAATTTTTACTTATCGGTGAATTGTTTCTGTTTTCCTTTTTACCAACTTGTTTCCTTCGTTTGATTTCCGATAATAAATCATTAAATCATTAAATGTACGTGATCGATGATGATGTAAATGTATTTGTTCCTAATCAATGTGTATGAAATGTAAGGGTCGCTGGCGCAACACGGTAAAAAAGGGCGCAGCTGGGTTGTTTTGGCTCCTCAAAATACTGCCCCAGCGACTCTGTATATAAGAGGGTTGGCGGCTCATTCGGAAGATTCCTCTTCGCTCTATTCGTATTTCAGCTTCTTCTCAGTGCTTGCCTTAGGCACTTTAATCGATTATATCTTTTCTGAGGCTTCTGGGACTTGTGAGATTTCTGAGACTCCACTACAGTACTCGAACTCTTAATCATAGTCAGGCTTTGAATCGAACATTTTAGGCTCTCTTCACTTTCTGACTATTTGTGGACTTTAGGCTTATACGTGAGTGGGAAAAGAGTATACTCCCATATCTTAGCTGGGCAAATAAACCACGTGGCTCAATATCTATTTTACCTTATGAAGGTGCTCCAAGGAGGATTTCAAGATACAGTCGAAACTTGAAGAAGAGCGCACTTAGCAGAAAGCCAGCGGATTCCTTCAGGTGACGACCGACACGCAATTCGCTGTGAAGAATATGAACGGTGACCCAGCATAGCCTTCCCCGCGGCGTTATCAACGCAGCACGCCCACCGAGTGGTGAACCACTCACCACAGATCTCTAGCCGTTTAGCAGAGAGAGCGATAGCGTTTGAAGAGGGTAGCACCGAAGAGATTTGCACCAATGTGGAATCAAAGGGCAAGGAAGGAATTATATTTTTCGAGTTTCATGCCGTTTCTTGGTTTTCCATCATCCTGGCAGCTCTGGTACCTCTGCCATAATTCTAGTGGGTTGCCTTCTAATCACATCCATTTTTTGAGTAAAGTCGTCGATTAAAGCACAAAAGCGCCGCTGCAACGTACATTACGCCAAGCTCCGAGCGGATCCCTTTCAAATAACATGACAGAAGTTATGACGGATTGATGCGACGTGCTGCAGAAGTTAATACTCTCGCGAAAGTCCTTAAATGAATTCATTATTCATTAGGGTAATAGCTGTCAAACACGGTTTTATCTGGTCTAGGGGCTACGAGGCTGCGCGGCGCTCTCCGTCTGCACAGCTAAGGGTTGTTCTGCGGTATCACTGCATATCGAAACTGCCACTTGGTGTCGAAGTAGTAACGGACCCTAGGAATAAGCTATAGATGCGTATACGGACAGAGCGCCGCTTCACCGCGTGGCTCCTCTCAACTGATTTACCTTTAGTTTCATTTTTCAAACGTTTTTTGAACATTTCTTGTCAACCCGAGCTTGAAAGCGAAGCTCTTGGGGATGTTAAGTAACCAGAATTTGTTGTTTTTTATAACTACAAACACTTTGGTCGCGTTCACAAACAAATCATTAAAACGCGGAAATTACCTTGCGAGCAGCTCAACCAAACACAACGAAAAAAGGGAAGAGGGGAAAGGGGAGAGAAGTCATTTTCAATTCATTACCGATAAGAAATGAAACCATAACGATGAATTTCTGAGAAGATGGTTTCCGCTGAGGAACTGTTTCCGATTCTCTAATTCGGATTTATTGGAGAGCTGTTAAACTTAACAATGTCAACAATATCGTCCGATACCGGTAATCCCAAGGTTTCAGTAATTTGCGCAGAGTCGATTCACAACAACGAATCCCAGTACGTTGACGAAAGCGTGGAAAAATACAATTATGCACGATGGCGAAAAATTACGCGTGCGTCCCATTTCTGTCACGTAATGTTGAAGGCTATCCCACCACCAGCCTGGTTGGATGCTGCTCGCGAAAATGAAAATATAATATATCTCAGAGTTCGGAAACGGCCAATGAAGAAAATTGAAACGAAACCGTTGGAAGCAGTCAAAACAATGGTCCAATTTTCCCAGACTGGGTGAGTCTTTTAGATAGAGTCGGACAGACAAAAACGGACACGGTCCAAGAGCATCGATGTCACAGAGCACAGACCATGGGCCGCCGTCACACTCGGCGTCGGACAAGCGCGATCGCTCCATCGCTTCTCCATCGCCGAGTGTGACGGCGGTCAAAGCGAATACTGGGACGCAAACATCACTGCCTTAAATAGTTGGCTGCGATAGATCAACAAAGCAGTCTCAGCTTGATATGTAGATTATCGATAAGTAGGGTTGGACATTGTGAACATTCGCAACCGGTCGATTCGCCAGCGATTCCATCAGCTGGAATCGTTGGCGCATAATTCGTGTTCCTCAAATCCTCAACTGGAAGTAATGTGTAGCGTTGGCGCTGACGCAACGACCGGGGTTCGCCCGACAAAGGAGCGGCTTCAGGGTCCTATTGAAGGGGTTTGCTCCTCGGCCCTGTTCATAGACTCGGCTCCAGTGCCAACTGTTTTTGGTGTTGATATGCCGTAGACTCATTCATTATCTACACAAAAGGCCCTTACGCTCAGTTTCTATCGAGGTTTGCGTCTCGTTTTTTCCTTACTGGCATACCGCTTCTGATTGTCTATTTATTGAAGACAGCTGGCAGGCTTTCACCGTGCCTTCCGACTCCTCTAATTCCTGTCGCAATTTCGACACTTTTGTTTATTCAAGTTTTATCTCTTCTAGGAAACAACTGATCAATAGCATAACCACCATCATGGTCACTGATATGCGTGCATTTGCTAGTGAGCGTTTGGAAGCTTCCAGCCCAGAATGAAGGAAACTGGGGGTTGAAGAATTTGGAGAAGTCGTTTTTGGGGTGGTCGCAATCTTTAACTTTCTTCTCTGGCAGATGCTTATTCAGGGCGCAGGGGAGGCGATAGTCCGATAGAGCGATGCCAATGCTATATGGTGGATGAGGTATCGTGGCCCTGGCTATCTCCCTCAGAACGTGGTGAGTTGGCATTGCAATGTGAGGTCTGGCGTACATTCGGAGAAAGGAGGATCTGAGACGTTTCTGACGATTCCCTCGCAACCCCGAAGCCAGCCTAGAGGGCTATTCCGCGCTGACTTTAGCAATGCTTGTCTTCATACATTGAAGTGGTTCCCAAACCAGGCCACCTAGCGAATCCAACAAAACGAGAGCGATATTCTCAGAAAACGGAGTTCGGGCTTTGGTTGAGCTGGTGCTTCCTGGCTGCGAGGCAGCCATCAGACGTGCCGCATGTTGTTGTCGCAGTGGACTCATGACTCATTTCCACTGGTGACCGATTAGGGAAGGCTCTGCTTTTGCCGTCCAGAATGGATTTTCCCCAGATGGTCAGGCGTGCTTCCCGCTCATGGTCGGCCGGACCATAAGGTTTCCATCAAAACTTCATTCTGCAGCAGTCCTTGCCATACTGATGGCGTGTGCTGGTGCATCGGCTGCGCTCAGGTATCTGCTACAATACCCTGGTAGCAACGTACGGAGGCACTCCCAATTTAGGGTGCAAGGGGCGCTCATCAAAAATGACCGCAGGCCCAGTATGAGGTTGAAGTTCATAGCTCGTTTCGTCTTTGCCGTTGCGATTGGTCCACTAGCTCAGTACCCTATCAGTAGCAGAGACTGACCAGGAAATGTTTTTGACTTCCCATGGAACTTTGAAAGGAGACCTATGAACATCGATAGAGTTTCGGACGCTGAGTACAAATACTTATACTTTGATACTTTGATAGTCCATCAACTGGCGTTCTTCTCAGTGGGGACCACAGCTCTTCCACATAGCCCGATTTTTGGCAACTTGCATCCAATGTAGGCCGCGTTCTCTGAAAAACTTTGAAAACGAGTCGGCCCACCGAGTTGGCGGTCGCCCTTTCGGTCTCGTTTTGTTTCTTGGGAGCCACTCTGTCACGCGTAGACTCCATCGGTCATCTGTGCGGCGAAGTAAATGACCGGCCCATCGATGCTTCAATTGTGCCATGTATGCAAGCGGATCTTTCAGGCGTGATCGCTCCTTCAATTCTGAGCTACGTATGCTTTGCTGCCATTGCTGTCGTCGGCTAATCTTCAGAAAACATCTTTCTAATGCACGATGAGCAGTTTGCATGGCCCTGGCGATTGTCTTGTTGTTAGGCCAAGTTTCGGTCGCGTAGCACATTGCTGGCAATACTGAAGTGTTGAATATGGAGGCTTTTAGTTCCGGGTCATTTACTTGATCTGTTACTTCGCGAATCGATCCGAAAGCTGTCCATGCTGCTCGTTTTCTGCGGTGTATTTCAGAAACGATGTTGTTTGTCATGTTCAGCTCTTTTCCCAGATATACGTAGGATTCCACTCTTCGTAGAGCTATTCCTGCCAATTTTACTTCTCCCATATCACTCCACTGGTTCACCATCATTTGCGTTTTGGACATATTCATTTCCAATCCAATCTTCAGACCCTCCACATTGAGTTCGTTGATCATCTCTTCCATTTCAGCTGTGTTGGTGGAGACTAAAATGATATCATCAGCGAAACGGAGGTCATTGATTCTATATCGTGTCTCCTTGCCTTACTCCTTTTTCGATTGGGATTGTCTCATAATTCCTGTCGCATTTCTATTCAATTTCAAATTCCTTCCGTCTAAGACCGTTTCATTGCGAAATACGTTAGTATGTTGAAGTATGCTTCAAGTGCCTTAACAGCGTGGTTTCGGAAGCGCAAGCCCTTAACGGGTTAATCAACTAGTAATAAAAATAGGTCAGTGACTGCAATCAATGATTATGCTTTACGATCCTCAAATGAACTCTGTAGCAAGGAGGACAACAGAGAAGATCAGCGCTGTGTTTGACTCACCAGGAAATGCTTTGAACTTCCCATGGAACTTTGGAAGGAGACCTAGATGACTCCATAGAGTCTTGAACGCTGATTACAAATATGGACATTAAAACTGCTACGTGAACTTTATAAGAAAGTTACGAGCATTCAAAGTTGGCAAAAAACGTTACTGAGGTAGGCTTACCTGATGGAATCACGCTCGCCGTGGCTCTGCGCTAAAAACGAGTATCAAATTCGTAATCAGGGCACCCACTAACCCTTATAGAACAAGAAACCAGACAAAAAGCATCCGTGATTTCATCAGGTGAGCTCGCCTCAGTAACGTTTTTTGCCAACTTTGAATGCTCGTAACTTTCTTATAAAGTTCACGTAGCAGTTTTAATGTCCATATTTGTACTCAGCGTCCGAAACTCTATCGATGTTCATAGGTCTCCTTTCAAAGTTCCATGGGAAGTCAAAAACATTTCCTGGTCAGTCTCTGCTACTGATAGGGTACTGAGCTAGTGGACCAATCGCAACGGCAAAGACGAAACGAGCTATGAACTTCAACCTCATACTGGGCCTGCGGTCATTTTTGATGAGCGCCCCTTGCACCCTAAATTGGGAGTGCCTCCGCACGTTGCTACCAGGGTATTGTAGCAGATACCTGAGCGCAGCCGATGCACCAGCAAACGCCATCAGTATGGCAAGGACTGCTGCAGAGTGAAGTTTTGATGGAAACCTTATGGTCCGGCCGACCATGAGCGGGAAGCACGCCTGATCACCTGGGGAAAACCCATTCTTGGATGGCAAAAGCAGAGTCTTCCCTAATCGGTCACCGGTGGAAATGAGTCATGAGTCCACTGCGACAACAACATGCGGCACGTCTTATGGCTGCCTCGCAGCCAGGAAGCACCAGCTCAACCAAAGCCCGAACTCCGTTTTCTGAGAATATCGATCTCGTTTTATTGGATTCGCTAGGTGGCCTGGTTTGGGAACCACTTCAATGTATGAAGACAAGCATTGCTAAAGTCAGCGCGGAATAGCCCTCTTGGCTGGCTTTGGGGTTGCGAGAGAATCGTCAGAAACGTCTCAGATCCTCCTTCCTCCGAATGTACACCAGACCTCACATTGCAATGCCAACTCACCACGTTCTGAGGGAGATAGCCAGGGCCACGATACCTCATCCACCATATAGCATTGGCATCGCTCTATCGGACTATCGCCTCCCCTGCGCTTTGAATAAGCATCTGCCAGAGAAGAAAGTTAAAGATTGCGGTCACCCCAAAAACGACTTCTCCAAATTCTTCAACCCCCAGTTTCCTTCATTCTGGGCTGGAAGCTTCCAAACGCCCACTAGTAAATGCACGCATATCAGTGACCATGATGGTGGTTATGCTATTAGTCAGTTGTTTCCCAGAAGAGATAAAACTTGAATAAACAAAAGTGTCGAAATTGCGACAGTAATTATGAGACAAACCAATATATCCCTCTTTGTCAAGGGTGGT